ATACGTCCGTCATATAAGTACTGAAAAAACATAGTCAAATTCATCCTACGACCTTAACATACTATAAACAAAAAATAAAATTCAAATTATACGTCTTTTGTTTTTTATCTTTTTACTACGGAAATGTGTGTTTTTTAGCTACATACAACAGCAACATATTAAGCTATGGATAACCAGTGTAGTAGCGGAGAACCTAACGGGTAACCGGGGCTCCGGCTCGACGTGCAGGAGTAGGAACGGGGTGGTTTTTAGTCAGTAAGAGTCTGACACTCCCTCCCGCCTCACCCAGGCGGGAGCAGTCATTCGATGATTTTCCCCCCTTAAAAAAAATGCATAACCAGTATAGAGGTAAATATTTTATTCTTTTTTAAAAAACGTTGCCCCACACTAGGATTTTCTCCTGTGTCGTGGGTGCGTTTACATACAAGTTCACATACACAAGACACCCAGACCAGGAAAAACAATCTGTGGATCACACAAAGAGATGTTCCGTGCGGGGATCGAACCCGCGACACGTAGCACGGTATCTAGTTGCCCAGCCACCGCACCAACGGTGCAGTCAAATTGATCATTGGTTGCGAGTAGAGACCATATGAAGTGCGTTCATGATTCACTGGTTCTATATAACTTGATGCCTTTGTAGTGTGATGTACAAAACTGGCGTCATTGTCTTATAGCGGTAGGCAAATATTACAGAGTTCCTCCCTCTTTATGGCAAGGTGAAAAACCCCTTAAGCCTTTGACTGCCAATAGAAAACTGATGAAGGCAAATCCTCCACTAAGTCGGTCACACGGTGACCCCCGCGGCGTTTAATCTTATACTATTATATAAAGCGGAGGAGTTTGTTTTTTTGTTTGTTTGTTTGAACGCGATAATCTTCGTAACACAAATCTGATTTGAATAATTCTTTTTGTGTTGGATAGCGCATTTATCGGGGGTGGCTATAGGCTATAAAAATAACGCTACGACTAATAGGAGCTGAGCAGAGCGAGTGAAACCGCGCGGAAGTAGCTAGTGTGTTAATATTGCACATTGATTGCACGGTTGGCGCGGTGGTTGTGCAACTATCCGCCGTGCAACGTGTTCGGTTCGATTCCCGCACGGACTCTTTGTGTGATCCACAGATTGTTGTTCCGGGTCTGAGTGTCATGTGTATGTGAACTTGTATGTTTGTAAACGCACCCACGACACAGGAGAAAATCTTAGTGTGGGGCAACGGTATTTTTAAACAAAATCACAATTAGTTATTGAGAATAATCCTCCTTGGTAGGTGCTATCAGCTCCTAGAAGGGGCCATGTCTTGTTATGGACCTGCTTCGAAGTCTTCATGGGTTTCTTACTCTTCTTTCTTTCTATTTATCGGGCACAATTTCATATGCCGTATGGTTTTTTATGGGATAAGTCGGTAAACGAGCTGACTGATCACCTGATGGCAAGCAATCGGCGTCGCCCATGGTCACTCGGAACACCAAAGGCGTTACAAGTGCGTTACCGGCTTTTGGGGATTAGGAGTTTGAGGATTATTGAGGATTCAGAGATTGGGGATGGGCGGGGGGTAATTGGGCCTCCGGTAAGCACACTCTCACGACGAAACACAACGCACGCGTTGTTTCACGTCGGTTTTCTGTGAGGCCGTGGTAGAACTCCGGTCGAGCCGGCCGAATCATGACTCTCCCACACTTCAATTAACAATATTCGAAACTACATTGTCCAAACCGGGAATTAAACTCCTATCTCGGCAACCAATCAACTTAAGATGCAATAAACAAGTTTGAAAGCTCAAAAACGAATCGGTGTATATTTGATTTCAAATTATATCTCTGCCATTTTGAAATTTCATTGCCAATCATCAAATAAATATGATTTGCTGTTATTCTATTAAATACTTCACGACTTTTAGAACCAATTAGATCATTAAGGGGATTTAATTAAGCATTTATGATAGACACATAAATTGTGTGGATGTCAGTTGGAATAGTTTATACTTATTGTTAGAAACCTCTTTTGTAGCGCGATAATAAAAATGGTGGTAAAGCAGGGTGTTCGCGTTCGCGCCAAAATTCAAAAATCGAAGCCCTGCCCACGCCTCGCGAGTCGCGCCTACAGAGGGCTTAGTACGAGTTTCTTTTAAACGTGACGGCGTTCGGTGCTCTAATTGGTTGGTTCATTGGAGCCGGCCAATCACAGCGCCGAACGCGTATTCGTTACGAATACTTTGAACGAAAAAGAAATTCGTACTAAGGCCTCTGACTCTCTGTCCTCTGAAGACTGAGAATCTCCGTTTTGCTTTTCGAAGTCGTTTAAAAAGGTCGTTGATTAATTTCAATGTTTCGATAAGATGACTGTATATCCTACAGATTATGTCGATAAGGTGACATCATGCAGTCGCCATTTTCCTGGTCATAATGTCAAGACAAGTCAATAAAGCTACTATGTAAATATGACTTGTGGTTTATTGACAACTAGATTATGTACGTGGCTTTGTTTACTGTGCTGAAATCTTTACTTTACGTTGAAGAGTCATGCTTCAGCACGAATGGGTCAGCTTGACCGGAGTCATAGAAAACTGGCGTGGAACAATATGCTTGCATTGTGTTCCTCGTTTGCTGCCTAATTGTACTTGACAAAGTAGGTACTCCACCATATTTAAGTGTGGAAGAGCCATGCTTCGGCAAGAGTAATCGCTTCGACCGGAGTGATACCACGGCCGAGCAGAAAACCAATGTGAAACAACGCTTGCGTTATGTTTTGTCGTGTGAATGAGGTTACCGGAGGCCCAATTACACCCTCCCCCTGGTGTACCTGATGGGCGACGCCGATTACTTACATTCCGGTGATCTGTCTGCCCGTTGACCGGGTAATCCCTCAAAAAAAAAAAAATAATAACAAAATACTCCCATAAGAATTAAAAAATATAAATCAATTCAGTGATCTCTCGTATAATTAAGATCAATTAAACTGTCAAACACCAAGCGGTCACCGGTGACCACAACCTATTGTTCTATAATTGTGTCTATGATGACGATACTCGACGAGTTAATAAGCGGTAAATCCTCCAAATATTAGAAAAGCAATAGGTTTAAAGGTATGTACTGTACTACACATATGTATCTTAGTTACTCGATCATGCAAAAACTACTAAACGGATCAGAACAAAAATTAGCATCCAGATAGCAGTGGTGTAAGTAACTGTTCCCTTCGAGGCCCGTGGCAAAGTCATCGGTTGGGCCCCCGTTCTCAATAAAAGCAGGGAAGTTCAGAAGATACGTCTGAACAGAGGCCCCTTGCGGCTGGGGGCCCATGGCTTTACGTCGACTTGCTACCCCGTAGTTACAATGCCACAGCATAGATTACAATATAGCTAACATGTGACCTATTTTAATCTGGGTATCACAGATAAAATCTTAAGCAGAAGCTACAATAAAAAAACGAGTGTCCAAAGTCAGTTCAGTGTCTTCTCTTCCGTACAACCGGGATTAAAAGAAACGGTCAATTATATATATTAGTCATTTATATTTCCAAAATGGTCGTGCACCCACCCACATACGTGTATGTGTGGGTCGGCAGTATAATGACTCATTTTCCTTGATCTGTGCCTAGCACACAATGACGGGAGGTCATTGCAAGGTTCTCTCATGTAGCTAAGATGGTGTATTATGCCTATCTAGCTAAACTTGTCATTACATATATAACATCACGCCTTTTATCCCCGAAGGGGTAGGCAGAGGTGCACATTACGGCACTTAATGCCACTGTACAATGTAACACCCACTTTTCACTATTTATGTTATGAGTCCCACGCAATAGGGGGTGATAATATTGCCATATACCGGGCACAATTCCAGACTTTGTGCTACTATCGAGATTTCTTTTCAAAAATTTCATTAATACTTTGCCCGACCTGGGAAGCGAACCCAAAACCCCTTGTCCGACAGTCGCACTTGCGACCACTCGGCCTATACAAAAGACTACAAAATTGTAAATTAGATATGAGATATATTTTAATTATTCATTAAAACCTTAATAGATTAAGGTTTTAATGAATAATTTCGTATAGAACTTATTATCAGTGAGTGGGTAATCTATCAGTACTAATAATAGTTATTTTTTCTTTTTTAGTTTTGACTTTTGGTTTGTTGTTAGTTTTTGGATTTTTGAAGTCGGTTTTTTAAACGCAGTTTTTTATATTTCATCGTCATCATCAACAGCCTATAAGTGCCTACTGCTGAGCAAAGCTTCTTCTCACACGAAGAAGGTTTGAGCATCCTCAATGCAAGTAAGCGATTACAAACTTGCAATTAGACATTTTAAGCCCAGGTTCAGGTGTCATGAATCGGCGAAGAGTCACCGATTTATGACAGATGTCCCACATATACATGGGTGAATTTCAACAAGAGATTTTTATGTATCATTTCGGTGGGATTTTTTTATTTCAATGCAATCTATATATTTTTAGTGACAAATAATACTTTAGTCTATTTTATAACATTGTGCGTGAGTGGACATCAAATATTATCAAAACTTACATAAATATTTAAGGATAAAGTTTTAAGAGTCCACTGAAATTAAAAGTGTCCACCGAAATGATAAAAATTACCACCGAAATGATAAATCCACCGAAATGATACAGCTAAGAACAACCGTGCCCCCAGCCAGGGTTCCGTACTTTGTTAGGTTTGATTTCCACAAATTTTAGATAAACACTGAGACAGGACAGTACACAGTTTTTTTAATATCATCATTAATATACAGATATTACAGTTAGTATTATTACATATATCATTCTTTGAGGTTACAATAACCTCAAAGAATGATATTAATGTAATGTAATGTTTATTATGATATGAATGAATAGTTTCTTTACTTTTATAACCTTTGGTAATTTTTGTGGTTGTTGTTGTGTGAAAATGTTGGAAAACTTTATCGTAAATGCTGGTAACCTTAAATAAATATTTTTGCTTGTTTATGTACTAATACTAATTTACTTGATATATTTTCAAAAGAATCAACGTATCGCGATTAGAAAGCTTAAAGTTTCTGATTAATATGATGGTTGCATTTGTAAGTTATTTCGAATTCTCAGGAGGGTTCCTGAGAATTCGATTTTTTTTTTTATCAGGTTTTATGACTTCTACTGCTGGTTTTTCTCCTTTTTGGGTACTTTTCTTCAAAATCATATAATTGCTTTGTAGTCTGTTACACCTTTTTTTGAACATTTCTTTTTCCTTAGTGACCTGTAATAATTTGTTTTGTAATTCTGTAAGCTTAGTTTTAGTTTTTTGATATTTTCGAAATTTGTCTTTAAGTCCTCGCTTGAATTCTACAGATGTAATTGACGAGTCTGAAACAGGGCTGTTGGGGCATAATGTTGACTCGATACTACTTAGATTTGATGGACATGTTATTCGTTGTACGCCACTTGGTTGTACACAATGAGTGCCAGTTACTACATTGTCATCAATATGATGTTGAATATTGGAACCAATTGTACTATCGCTATTCATCGGCAAGCAGCGCCGAGCCGAAGATGGATTCCCTTGACGAGAAGTCCTTGGACCAGGATTGCTATAGTCAAAATTTACAAAATTTTGATGCGTTGATAGCAGGGTTTGTCGTGGACTGCTTGTGTATACCCGATGAAAGCTTCTAGCTTCTGTAGTATTAGAACGTTGGATTTGGATATTCGTACTAATACTATTGCTGTTCAATCGTAAGCTGCGCCGTAAAGTAGGCAAGAAGGAACTGTGACAGGAAGTGCTTAGTCCAGGACCATCACTTTGATCCCCAATTGTCTCATCCAGAGGGTTAGCACGAGCCGCTATAGGAGCTGGAGCTGCTCTATTTTTTTTTCTTTGGTAATAAGCAGCAGCACTTATTTTGTTTTTTCTTCTTAGAATTCTTAATTTTTTAGGGGTCATTAGATGCCTTGAAACAATTAATCCCGCTGCTTTTTTTCTGGCATACCTTTCTCTGTCTTTTCTCAAAAACTCTTCGCGTGAGACTTCATTGCTCTTAATTCTCTCTTTTCTTCTTCTTTCATACAACCTCCTTTTTTCCAACCTTTCTTCTCTAGTCTGTTGCTTAGGCCGCGGCATCCTAAAATCAAAATACACGCTTTTCAATTTTCTTCTTTCTCATATCCACAGACATACATTCATACACACTATACTATGATCCTATAAAATACTATACCTTCAGATACACCACGCGCTCACACACTAGCTCTCTTGCATTGACTCAGACAAACACTCTCACAGGCAATTTCTCATCACATAGGTATATCTCTTTTTTTTTCATATAACGTTTAAATGCTCTTTAACTTATTTGTTATATCTTGTAAAATTAAGAAATTTTGTAATTATATCAAATATTATTTATTATTGTTATTTACTCGTAATAAATGATATAAAAATAAAGGTAAGTGACTTATATTGAAGGTAAACCCTCGAAATAATTATTTTGTTGACAATTAGTAGGTATAATAATCTACACTGTGGTGACCCACACACTCATCACATTTTCGTTGAGCCGAACAAATGTGTATCTAAAGTATAGTAAACATGTACTAACTACATAGATATATGTATATATTATATATCTTAAGCACAAATATTACACAACAAATACACCTAAATAATCTAATCGACACTCTAGGTAAAAGTAGGTACATTACAAAACTATGACTTTGTATTTGACACCAGGATCTCTAAAACTTTATGTTTTTATCATTTCGGAGATACTTTTAATTCCGGTGGACTGTAATTGGTATAACAGTCCACCGAATCCACTGAAATGATAACACTGAGATGATAAAATAGAGGTTAGTTCTACATTTAACTCCGAAAAAAAATTATTTAAAAAATATGAACACTACTCAAACAAAACAGTACTTACTGCGAATTTAATACACAATTTTGAAACAAATTAAACAAATCTAGCACGAGTTATAACAGCCACCGAAATGAAACTATTTTTGTCCCCATATTACTGAAATGATAAACTTACTTTTTTGGCGGGAAACCGCAAGACGTTGGGACCGGTGCGTTCGCGCCGAGAGCTTAAGCCGGACTGATCCGGAGTGAGAAAAGGTGAAAGGGGCGTAACAACGCAATGTTGATGTGGCTATTCTACTAAAACTTACTGTCCTCTGAAATGATAACTTTTTTCCAGACAAAAGTTGACTGCCTGTCAAATCCATGAGAAAGAAGATAAACAAACAAAAATTGTTTTATTTGATCGAATATATTATAATTTAATGATAACAAAATCAATTTAAATCCATATTACGAATGTATTTGCAGGAGAAGGTATGTTATGAGCGGAATTGGGTTCAGGACAGGTCACCGTGATGATAAAATAACACTTTGTAATTTTTTTTTTGGGTATATTAGAGGGTAGATACCAATGATTTTTTTTGCCAAGGTAGAGAAATACTTACGTTGTTGAGAAAAAATATATAAAATTAATAATCAGCACATTGCACTACCGTTCTCAGGTTTGCCGTGTATTTTTTTGCTTGGGCAATTCACCCACATACGCTTCGCATCAAGCTTCCTTATGCATACTGCTAAGGAGTGGATTTCTTTGCAAGAATCTGTATTTCCTGAAGGGTATAACCTGGGAGTCTTCAAGGCTCGAATGAATAGGTTGTTTATGGGACGACGTGGTCCATCGTAGACTGCATTATCGCTTGCCACCAGGCGAGATAGTGATCAAACGTTGGCCCATCAAATATATAAAAAAAAAATCACTCTTAAAAACTGTTCACCTTTGAACTACATTAGATACCTAAGTTACTATCTTTGGCAACCATAATTCAGTTTAGATATCTCAAAATCAAAACTCCTTCGAATCTGATTATAACTTTGTGGCGAGACGTTTACTTAGAAAAAGGGTAGAAGCCAGTAAATTACTCTATGGTCACCCCAAACAAAGCAAAGAAAAACAAAAGAAAGTTTTCTCCGATTACTTGAAGCTCATTTTAACGATACAACATATTAGCACTAAGTCTATATTTGTCTCTTTTATACTCACTTGTTTTTATCACACCTCTCTTTCGCACAAAGTAACCTAACCTAAGTTCCTGGAACGAAATCTTATTTGACAGTTGTATTTTTTTTTTCAAAAGTTAAAAAGAAAAGTTCTACCCAAAAAAGTTTTTAAAGGTTGTTTTAAGCAAAATTGCCTTCTTTTCGTGTTTTATTTCATATGTTTGAGGTTAAAAAGTTTGTTTCGTCAAGTCTGTCCGCGTAAGGTTAAAGAAAGAAGGCTTTACGTACAAATTACGTCACTACAACTTAAGCTAAAACTTAGGTAATACTTAAAAGCTAAACTTAGTCTCAGACACGAATTCTCAACAGCTTACGTAATCCACCACAAATAAACAACAAAAAATACTTACAAAACGGGAAAAAATGTTCACATAACTTGCACTACACCAAATTAGGTTCATAACCTTAAAATGCAGTAAAAAAACAAACAAAATTATAACATAAACGTTTCCAATAAGATTTAAATTAGCAAAACATTATTTTCATGTATTTTTGTTACGTTTTCCGGACGTGTTTTGTTTTTTGAGCGGGAGCGTGCACGTCCGCTCCGTGCGACGGTTGGCAAGCGACTGGTTCCTTGCCTTGACTCGAATACTTGATTAGGTTAGGCTGCGTTTACGCAGGTGTAATGAAAGGAATGTTGTAAAGAGTGTGGAATTGTTAGCTTTCTTACTGGAATACTTATTATGTTTTTTTTGTGTGTTATTAAGTACTATTTTGTAAATGATGCTGAGAAACGTTTTAAAGTTGTATTCCCAAATTAAACAAAGTTATATGGATGGAATTCTGGTTAGTTTTATATAGCCAAATTCTTCTTTTCTTTCTTTCATACGGGTTAGCCCATAACACTTAACATAACCGGTTAAAAGTGGGTGTGACTCTCATCATTAGCACGGTCCTGCCGACAGCAGGACTTAGGCTTTTCCAATAGCTTGCTACATACTCTTCTTTTGCTCGATCTTCAGTTCCATGATCTTCTAACAACATGGTTCTTAGTTATGAAGACCTTCATACATCTTCAACAGCTTCTGACGGTCCGCTTTTGAACTTTGGTCGCTCATCTATCAATTGGGTTTGCCAAATCTCCACGTGACGAAAGTCTGATAAGAATTCAAATTCAAATTGTTTATTATTTTAAGAATTACAATATCTGTCAGCATTGAGGCAGTCCCAGTAAGTTATTATTCAATACTTGTGTGTCGCGGAGAACCTAACGGGTAACCGGGGCTCCGGCTCGACGTGCAGGAGAAGGAACGTGGTGGTTTTTAGTCAGTAAGAGTCTGACACTCCCTACCGCCTCACCCAGGCTTGAGCAGTCATTCGATGATTTTCCCCCTTAAAAAAATTCAATACTTATGTTGGGCCTGACTCGCTCCTTTCTTTATACGCGGAGACATGGAGATCCTAGTAGAACAGCGAATTTTAATCAGAGAGCACTATAACTGTATTTAGTTACCTTTAAAATGAGAGCATTTTGTTGTAAAACTAATATTTTTTTTAAAGTTACAGAATTTAGAGGGTTCTATATAAAATGCTAGTTTCTTATCTCGTTTCGTTGCTCCGAAGTGTATGTTTGACTTTAGAGTTTCAAAAACCTAGATCAATCGTTTTGGACCCATTTTGGAATACTTAACTTTTTTATGGCATAAGCCGGTAAACGAGCAGACGGATCACCTGATGGTAAGCAATCAGCGTCGCCCATGGACACCTGGAACACCAGAGGCGTTACTAGTGCGTTACCGGCCTTTTGGGGATTAGGAGTTTGAAGATTGTTGGGGATTCAGGAATAGGGGAGATTGGGGAAGGGGAGGGTAATTGGTCCTCTGGTAACCTCACTGACACGACGAAACACAACGCAAGCGTTGCTTCACGTCAGTTTTCTGTGAGGCCGTGGTATCACTCCGGTCGAGCCGGCCCATTCGTGCCGAAGCATGGCTCTCCCACACTTAATATTTTCAGCCTTTCGTCAACACCGGCAGGAAGATTCAGGCTAGTTACAAATAATCAGATGTTCAAGTAAAACGTAAGCTAGCATTTTGTTTTGTTTCCTATCTTTAACGATAGTCAGTGACTGTGTAAGTCCCTAGCTATTATGTTGCCGCTTCGATGCCCGTGTGCTTAGCTACGTCACTTCCGTTCCACTCCGGTGCGTCTACTACGAATTTTCTATTAAAATTGTGCACGAACTATAATGTAGATGATGCTTCATCTTTTTTTGCAGTTTTTCTAGACTTAGCGCGGTAGCCTATAGACGTTTTTTTTTTTTTTTTTAAGGGGGGAAAATCACCGAATTACTGCTCCCGCCTGGGTGAAGCGGGAGTGTCAGACTCTTACTGACTAAAAACCTCCTCGTTCCTTCTCCTGCACGTCGAGCCGGAGCCCCAGTTACCCGTTAGGTTCTCCGCGATCGTTAGGTTCTCCAGATGTAAAACGCTTCGACAGGTTCGACGCCTACCGGCGGAATGTACCAATATTTTTTACGAGTTAGGCTAAGTACTCACGACTAAGTTCTCCCGTGCTCGCCACGATGGCAAAATGGACGCGGAATTTTTAAACCTCACGAGACCGAAGTTTTCTGTGATCCTGCAGCCGCTGCGGTTACGATTATCACCCGCAACCTTGGCGGTTGATTACCGCAAGACGGGCGGGTGGTTAAACAATCAGTTGAGATCCAAAAACGACTGCCTCGTCGGCCGAGTGGTCGCGGGTATTTTTTTTAAGGGGGAAAATCATCGAATGACTGCTCCCGCCTGGGTGAGGCGGTAGGGAGTGTCAGACTCTTACTGACTAAAAACCACCCCGTTCCTTCTCCTGCACGTCGAGCCGGAGCCCCGGTTACCCGTTAGTTTCTCCGGGACTCCGAATTATGTATATGTATAGGAGACTCATAGTCCGCAGTGTCACGATCTCTTGTTAATGACGAGGTGTAAAACTAAAAGCTTACAAAATGATAGTTTATTTTCGAGTAGGTAAAGGTATCGTAAAATTCAGCCATTTTGTAAAAAGCACCATTTCTTTTAATAGACATTTTATCATCGCACTATACGTAAGTAATCCCCTTGGGGGTTGGGTAAGGTATCAACAGCCTATAAATGCCCACTGCTGAGCAAAGCCTCTTCTCACACGGAGAAGGTTTAAGCATTAATCACCACGCTTGCTCAATGCGGGTTGGCGATTACAAACTTATAATTCGAAATTATAAGTCCAGGTTTCCGCACGACGTTTTCCTTCACCGTTTGTCAGTGGTGTCTAGATATTCTTAGAAAGTACATATATAACTCTGAAAAAGTCACATTGGTTTGCCGTTGGTAGGTTTCGAATCCGCACCCTCATGCATGAGAAGCGGGCGTCTTAAACCTCCGGGCCACCACGACCACGGTAAGGTAATAAGGTAGGGTAATAGGTATGAGACAGCCATGCTTCAACAAATCAACACGAATGGGCCGGCTCGACCGGAGTGATACCACGACCGAGCAGAAAAACAATGATTGCGTTGTGTTTCGTCGTGTGAGTGAGGTTACCGGACGGCCTAATAAACCCCTCCTCAATTTTTTTTATACATAATAGGCCATTTCGTCTGATGGTAAGCGATGATGCCGACGATGGAGCACGCCTACCTATGAGCAACCTGTTCACTCGGGACTTGAAGACACCGAAGTCATATTTGACGGGAAACACAGCCTCCGGCAAGGAATTCCATTCCTTAGCGGTTCGCATGAGGAAGCTTGACACGAAACGCTTCGTGCGAATGGGTGGAATGTCCACCATATAAGGGTGGCTGCCCTGACGTTCGTCTGGTGGTACGGTGGTGAAATGGACTAGGGGTAATAAGGTCAATCTTCCCAATTCCGAATCCTCGTTAATCCTCAAATTCCTAATCCCCAAAAGTCTGGTAACGCACTTGTAACGCCTCTGGTGTTCCAGGTGTCTATGGCGTCCCATAACAAAAACACTCATTAAAACTTATAAAATATAATATAATGTCTATGATTGTATTTTTTTTTTTAAGTCTGTATACAATGTGTCATCGCCTTTACTTCACACGATTGCGAAGTGAGCCTTCGAAGTTTGAACTTTCTAATAATTCCAAAAGGTTTTTACTGCACACTCCATTCAAACTAAAACGTACCGTATTACTTAGGAACAAAGATTGAAATTCCTA